GCCTTGACTTTTTGATAGGGCAGAATTTAGATAGGTGGAGTAGACTGAACAGAATGCTGGGAGAAAGAAAGCAGAGTCAGACAGACGCCATGGCTCTTCTCTCCAAGACAGATGCTGGTTAGACTCATGCCGGTAAGCCACAGTCAAGTGGAGATACAGATTATTAGAAATGGGTTGAATCAATATGTGAGAGTTAGCCAATAAACGGCTAGAACTAATGGGCTAGGTAGTGTTTAAATGAATATAATTTGTGTGTTGTTATTTTGGGGGTATAAGCTAGTCAGGTAGCCGGGAGCCAGGTGGCAGGAATGCAGCCCGCTACTCCTTTTACAACATTTTAAGGACTCTAGCCCTGGAAAAGAAGAAAGGGGGTGTCCTCCAGAGAGGGTTGGGATGACTGTCTCCGATTGGCTAGGAGGGAAACAATGAAGATGAGGTAGTGGGATTTTTGTCATGTAGCTTGGTGGGTTTGAGAAACCAAATCAGGACCAACAATACTACAACTGTTTCTCTATCTGAACAAACAAAAACAAAGAGGGGGGAGAGAGAGAGAGAGAGAGAGAAAGGAAGGAAGGAAGGAAGAGAAAAGGGGGTAAATTAAAATCATTTCCACCATCTACCAAATGTGGCCACTTAATAAAAACAACTCTAAGCAAGTTTCCAAACTGAAACCCAGAAGGAAATCCTGCCAATCACTTACTGGCAACCCTTCAGCCAGGCTCCTTTTTACTCCAGGCACAGCGTGGCAGGATCTCAGGTACAGCGGGACTCGGTGGCAGGCTCCCAGTCACCGTGAGTAAGAAGGGCACAGTACCTAAGTGCGTTGTTAGAGCACCAGCAAGGAATAACCGTCAGAGAGTCACATGTCAGGCCTGAGCTTCTCATTAGCATGTCACTTGAAGTGAGCTTTAGAATCTTGAAAACAAGCTGGTGAGTGGGTGGCGCACGCCTTTGATCCCAGCACTCAGGAGGCAGAGGCAGGTGGATCTCTGTGAGTTCCAGAACAGCCAGGGTTGTTACACAGAGAACCCCTATCTCAGGGGAAAAAGAAAACCTTTTTTGTTGTTGTGTTTTTGTTTTTGTTTTTGCTTTTCGAGACAGGATTTCTCTGTGTTGCTTTGGTGTCTATCCTGGAACTCACTCTGTAGACCAGGGGAAAGAAAATCTTGAAAATGCTGTTCTTTATTGAGACATTGCTCTCCTGTGTGACTCTCAAATACACAGATGGACCAAAAATAGCCATCCATGGGGCTGGAGAGATGGCTCAGTGGTTAAGAGCATTGCCTGCTCTTCCAGAGGTCCTGAGTTCAATTCCCAGCAACCACATGGTGGCTCACAACCATCTGTAATGAGGTCTGGTGCCCTCTTCTGGCCTGCAGACATACACACAGACAGAATATTGTATACATAATAAATAAATAAATATTTTTAAAAAATAGCCATCCAGACTTGTATAGGGACATGCAAGAATCAGACCTATGGGGCAGAACTAGGATGGAAAGAAGAGAAAAATGCATTTATTGTTCATAGGATTTTTTTGGGTGGGATGGGGGTAGGCTTTGCTTGAGATGGAGTCTCGCTATGTAGCCCTGGATGACCTGGAATTCTCTATGTAGACCTCTATGTAGATCAAGCTGGCCTCAAACTCATAAAGATCTGCCTGCCTGTGTCTTCTGAGCACTGAGATTAAAGTCATGGAGCACCATGCCGGTCTCATCTGTATGTTATTAATCAAGCATCTGTTGACCTGTGTAATTACAGCCTCGCAACAGACACCAGCAAAGGGTGTGCAGGTCAGCTGATCTGACCTCTGCTGTTCTTTTCTATGCGACCAAGACCTCAAGGGCAAGGCTACCTTAGAGCAGATTGCTCTTCTTCAGTTAGCACAGGGAGAAGGACCAGGCCTATTCCTACCTACTGAGTAACAGAGACAGGAGAGGCCCATGGTCCTCAAATGATGCTATGATTTCTTTCAAACTTTCCCATACTGTGGTCTACTTAAGGCTGTATGGTAGGGGAGCTGGTTAGTTTGATGAAAGACGTTCTGTTCAGCAAAGGCCATAGCATTTCAGAGCCCATGTCAAGCACACGCTGGCTTCAAGAGTTGAGACCTTTTCTTGGAGTGAGGCACTCAGCTTTCTGCCCTTCATTCTGGTGCCTCCTGGTGAGTAACAGACTCCTCCCAGTGACACCTCATCCCACAAGCATTGCACTATGCTCTGTGAACACTGGTGTGTGTGGATCACATTGTTGAATAGGCAGGAGGCACTGACCATGCTCTCTGCTCTGGTCCACACAGAAAGAATTGGTTACAAACACTCTTGTGCAGTGACTCACTGGTACAACATGGACATTTTGGGATTTATGAGTTTGAAAGTCCTTCTGAGCCAGAGACATTTCTAGAAGGTTTGCTGAACTTTTCTAAAGTCATTCATGTGACTGAGGTACACAGAGGGAGAGGGAGAAGGATGGAGAAGCCACACCAAAGTGTCCGACAGCTTTCCTTGCTAGAGACGCAGAAAGTTTATGCCCTTGAGCATCAGGTCTGGAGGAGAAGGATCACCCTGAATGTACACAAGAGATTCCTGTTGAGGGAAAGGAGAAAGATCAGGGAACAAAGAGATCGACAGGAGAAAAAGAAAAGATAGGGAATTAAGAATCAAGAATTAGGCGGCTGGGCTAAAGAGATGGCTCAGCAGTTAAGAGCACTGACTGTTCTTCCAGAGGTCCTGAGTTCAATTCCCAGCGACCACATGATGGCTCACTACCATCTATGATGAGATCTGGTGCCCTCTTCTGGGGTGCAGATATGCATGCAGGCAGAACACTATACATAATAAAAAAAATAAATCTTTAAAAAAAAAAGAATTAGGCGGCTAAGAGGTTGGTTATGTTCCTCTAGTCAGTCTCAGGTGTAGGCTGGTCAAAGAGCAAGAATGTGTGAGGGGCACAAAATGGAGAAAAGTCTAACTACTCCTGAAATCCAAGGATAGCTAGCTCTACTAGCATCAACTAGCTTCATTCACTCAGTAACTCAGCAACTTCTGAATCCCCAGCAGCGTGTTCTCAGAACCCTCTCTTTGCAAAGCTGCTCACCAAATTTTCCATCTCTTGTCAGTAATGGGAGGAGCAGGTAACCTATATAATCCTCTGCTCTATAAGCCACTGTAACATTCTCAGAGGGAGACATCTCAGTGAAACACCTCCATGTTCTATACAATGATCATGTGTCTACCTCTCCATGTTCTACGCAATGATTATGTGTGTCTACTTCTCCATGTTCTACACAATGATCATGTGTGTCTA